ACAACTCTAAAAAACTAAAAAAAAAAAAAAAATAAATATATAAATAATAATAAAAAAATAAAAAACAATATATATATATATATATATATATATATATATATATATATATATATATATATATATATATATATAAATTAATAACAAATTATTTATATAAATTAACTAAAATATAATCTACATTAACCATCATAGTCAATCATTTGTCATCATCATTTACTTACCGTATCGGAAACAATGAAATTCTTAAATACTGAAATATCGGGTGATAATTTTTTTTTTCTCTGTTTATTGAGATATCGATATTCCTTTATATTTTTTTTATGCTCCCACAAAAATTTCGTGATGGTGACGCAATTTTGAAAATTGGGAACCCCATCATCATATCATCATACGTAATTTATTTACGATATGTTCAAAGAAAATTGTATGAAAATATTACAACTAGTATAACTAGTATAACTAGTATAACTAGTATAACTAGTATAACTACAGTAGTATAATAATTAATAATAAATATGACGTATAATTATTAATCTTTATGTATTAATCTGTAGTAATTAATAATCGTTTACCACTTTTACTACCTTACTACCTCACTAGATGTTTTTAAAACCGTATTTCTCCTTAAACTTTCCATTAAATAAGTTTTCGAAAATCTTTTGTTGAAAAAAAAATAATTTGAATTTATCCGTTCCGAAATTGTCGAAATGTAATGTCATGATTGCCACATGTTTCTATGAATAAAAACAATGATATATTATATATTATTTGTGTGTGTGAATGAACTTCATTCCCGAAAAGAATGTAATTAACAATTGTTTGTTGATGCTTCTAACGATATGCAGTTTGTCTTTTTTTTAAATTTATTTTCCCTTACTTTATTAATTACTTTATATGAGTTTCTTTATGAGTTACTTTATGAGTTACTTTATGGGAAAGCTATTTTACGAATGGTCCAGATTTTGATTGTACTAGGTCGTGTGGTGTCTTGTGAGTCATCGTGTGAGTAAACATTGCAACGCCAATTTCTTTGTCTTTTGATGATCCTTATTATGTTATTGGGCGAATGGGTATATTAAGGGATGATGATTAACCGGATTTACAATTCTATAAAAATGCGTACTTGTTTCGTTAGCCGTCAATTTTTAATTCAAACTCATTGAACCACTTAAGCCATCACCATAAATGAAAAAGTTTTTTTTAAATGTACGATTTTTTTTTTCAAGTATTGTTTTTACATGCTGTATTTCCAGAGAAACTCCTGTAACACTACCTAATTTATATATTTTTTAATTCGGGTAAAAATTTTTTTCTTTCTTTACGTAAAGAATTTAAAAAAAAAAAACGATATTCCTTGGAGTTTAGAATTTCCCAAGAAATTCGATAAAAATTCTGAGTTACACAGCTTTGTTACACAATTACCATGTGGCATTAAATTTGTATAAAGAAATTATTGGTCAATACAATACAAAGAACAAGGAAATAATTATTTATTCGGTAACACAATTATTATTATTATATATGTCAAAATAAAATAAAATAAATTAAACTAATAAAATAAATTAAATTAAACTAATAAAACATATTAATAAAATAAATTAATAAAAATATATGCCTACGTATAAATGATATGATTTATCATAAAAAAAACCAATCAAAAATTAAATTTAGTTGTTATTTTAGTTATTAATTTAGTCTTAGGCACCCACGAGGTGATGTAAACAAAAACCGTTACAAAATCAGTAGATATATTTAATGGGTATCAGATGGCAAATTATGATGATTAAATGGTAATTATTGATGATTAATTATAATTAATAATTAATGATTGGGTTATATTTATTTAATTGATTTCTATTTTTTTTTTTACTCGGAGAATTGTGTTACTTTAGATAAGATCCTACACCAACTATCTGACTATTCTGTATTCATTGAATGGACGTTGTGTTATTATGCACTTTCATCAAGAATCAAGATAAGATGGAATTTGATAAAGATTTTGGGATTAAAATGGATATAAATAAGTTACAAGAAACACGTTATGTTACACAAACCCCGGTGACATTAAAGTATTGGTCACGCAAAATTAATATATTAATGCCGTATTGCATAACCCAATATCGATACAACAAATATCTGATTCGATAATATAGTACAGTATTTTCCGTGATAAACATTTTGTCATAAAAAACACAAAGAAATACAAACACATGATCATAATGAATTTGCGTGATGATGCCAAATATTTTGTATATTCACAAGTTAAATTTGGGTAATATTTTTTATCTAACAAAGAATTATCTTTTTTACAAATAAAGAATATTGATATTAAACTTTCCACATATTATTATTCCTGAAAAAACGTGCATTAACGTCAAATTTTAATGCGTTATAGTAGGCTTATCATGCTGTTTTGTTTGCATTGTTTTAAAGATTATCTTTAAAAGATTAACAAAAAAATGTCTATTGCAGGTAAATTTATTTTAGGCAGTCATAAGACCATGATAAGACCATGTTTTCAAAAAAATGCATTAGATAACGATAATGTATTCAAAATACTGATAATGTATTCAAAATACCGATAATGTATTCAATACAAATGAGGTATATCACATTTTTTATCTTTTAAATTTTAAAAGATATAATTCGTTTTTGTCAAGAAATAATAACCAATGCTTTTATGATTAATATGCATGTTAATATGCCATGTAGCGTATCTCAAAGGTTATCAGTAATATTTATACACGTATCTTTTTTTTTCTATTATCCGATTACTAATAAGTATTAGCCTAAACTTTATTATCATCACATGTTCTCGTCTACTCATTCAAAAATTCACCATTACCATTCAAGAAACTCATTTATTTTTTTTAAAAAAAAAATTTTTTTATCGTTCAGGAAACAATAGCAAACTATTCTTTTTATGTTAAATAAAGAAACCTTTTAAAGAAACAAAGACAAAATAAATTATTGTTTCGGTTTTCCCACTCCATAAATAATAAATATATATATGAAATTTTGATAGATACTTAATTCGATCTCCTGATCTTCTTAATAGTCAAGATATTAAGAACATAGCGTCGAAAAAAAATCCCTGACTACTGTATACAGGTATACAGAGGTATACAGAAGTATACAGGTATACGTATACGTATGCACCTGCATTACTAAAACAGTAATATATATTTGAGATATCAATAATATACACAAACAGTAATAATGACATAATTACAAAATGATAATCACAATAAGATTTATTAGCTCATGTGACTACCATGTGATAATATTAATCACTTGTTCTCTTTATTTGGATTATACATTACATTAAGTAATAAGGGCTAATGGATTTGCGCCTAATTTGTCACGCAGATTTTTTTTTTCATTAAAAAAAAAGAATAATAGTGTATACGCCTACAATATTAATACTTGTGATTTGTGATATAATTGAATTATATATAATTGAAAAAAAATTCCAAATGAATGCAAAAAAAAAATCGAATCCCGAATGTTTGGGGTGGTCCAAAATTTTTACCATCAAAAATAGGTTAATTCATATTTCTAAAGAAAGTTACCCCTACGTAATACTTACACAATTTTACAAAAAGTCTATCATAAGAACATATAAGATTAAACTGATACGTACGTACGTACGTAATATAGAGTCAATTATTGTTATTTCTATAAGAGTATAAGAGTTCCCAAACTTGATTATGAAAATACCCCATACCGATTAAATGACAGTGTACATGAACAGTGCTGTATACATAGGTTTAATTATCATTATAGAGATTTTTTGAACTTTGACACAATAGAAGTAATGTACTATTGAGTAAGAATAATAAAAGACATTGTTACCTAATAAGAAATAACAGCTGCGTCTAATGTGAAATTTTTAAGTTTAATTATGTCGAACAGCTCAAAAGTGTCCCAACTTAGTTGATGCTGAAGTAATACTATGCATAATGAAATACGGTTGGTAAAAAAAAAAATATATTGTTGGTTGATCTTGACAGGTTTTTCAAATAAACAAACAGATAAAGACTGCTGCAAAAACAAATAAAAGTAGGTTAATAAATAATAATAATACCTTTTGAAATTTCGGTACGGTAGTAAATATCTTGTTTAATTCAAATTTAATTCAATTTAATTCAATTTAATTCGATTTAATTCGATTTAAATTCGATTTAAATTCGATTTAATTCGATTTAAATTCGATTTAATTCGATTTAAATTCGATTTAAATTCGATTTAAATTCGATTTTAATTCGATTTAATTCGATTTAATTCGATGATATTTCATTAGATATTTTATTGATATTTCGCTAGATATTTTCTAAATGTATTTTTAATTCAAAAAGAACACGTTACTAGTTTTCTTTAAATAGTGTACATGTTTAAATGTTAATAAAAAAAAATTTTTTTTTTATTTTGTTATAAATTTGTTTTATTTCATTAGTAATATTGTTAAATGCTGACATTTTTAATAAATAAATAAGTAAGTATAACGTAAGACTTCTTGGCCCCTGAAAAAATGTTACATAATAAACTTATTCAAACAGCATTACCTTTTAATTCGTTAAATTTAAAGAGTCGATCACTATTAAATATTCATCTCTCTCTGAATAATCAGAGACTATTAATAATAATGTAATGTAATCTCTATTTACATTATTAATGAACCAGTCCCACATACCAAACTAGGGATGTAACTGGTCTCCAGTTTTAAGATTTTGTTAGTCCAGACTGGTCTAGACTGGTCTTAAAACTTAAAGTAGACCAAATTTTTTCGGTTTCAGACTGGTCTTAGGACTAACTGTAGTCCGTTGGTCTAAGACCGGACCACATAACATCCCTATTTCAAACCAATGTTAAAAATATCGAAATATATGAGTTTATACAGTAAATGTATGTTATTTGGTCAATGTTGATTTTGGATTTCGTTATTGGATTTGGATTTTTGGTGTTAGTTTTGAATTTCGGTATTGGTTTTGGATTCGGTATTGATTTAGTTTAGGATTTTGAAATTTTGGTATTGGTTTGGAATTGTGGCACTTTCGCCATTGGTTTGAATTCAAAAGTAACCTAAAAGAGTTTAGGATTTCAGAACCCATCTTTAATCATTATTCACATATTGTTTATGCAAATTTTTTTTTTATTAAATTTTTGTAAAAGTATTACTTGTATCTAAAAAATAATAGCAATTATCTTAATAAAAAAAATAATAATAATTGGCTATAGATTAAATTTTGTTTAACTATTACAGTATATATTGCATATTTTTCTTTTAATTTTTTTTTTTTTAATTTTCTTTTTAATTTTTTTATAATCTATCTTCGTCTTTAACGCCAAGTAAACTTGTTAATTACGCAGTTTGTGGTATCTTAATAATTTAATTTTTTTTACTATTAGATCAAGCAAAAATTTTATTTTTATTAAAATCAAAAAAATAATTTTATTTTTATTAAAATCAAATAAATTTATTTTTATTAAAAATGATTTTTTTTTTTTTTAAAAAAAAAAACCCATGATTTTTTTGGATTAAAGTTTTGTGCTATACAAACTATTTCTGTACTTGGTGTGTTTACTTAGAAAAGTACAGTTTTATTACGTAATTTTTTGGGGAGAAAGGGGTAAGTTTTATGTTGCATATAAATGTTACGATTGGCTATAATTTTATCACCGTGAGAGGTTTACTCTTCTAATAAAATTACGTAATAAACAGTAAATTTCCTAGTAAATAACCGGTGCATTCATAGTAAAAAAAAAAAAAAAAAGGAATAATTTGTTCAAATACAAATCAAGAATTTAAATTTTTAATCTATGACAAATTTAGCAGTTCTTATTAAGATACCACTTTCACCTAAAGTAAACCTTCTAAAATGTCACTTTTTTAAAATACTATTTTTAATTTGTTTAATCATATATTTTTAATTTTTATGCGACATCTTCCCCTGGATAATTCTATCTACAGTAATTATAAATTGGAGATTGACAATCAAGCAATCAAGATGATAGACTTTGCTGGTTACAGGATTAACAATCAAATTTTCATATTTATGGTCATGTGGTAATTAGCGATAGCTATAACCTATAACTCCTGAACATATGATTATCGTTATACTACGTATACGTCAAAAAGATGTTACCGTATAGCGATAAGAAATGTTGCCAAAAATTTTTCATAAAATGAATTAGAAACAATTGATATCAATTCTCACTCACATGTCTAGCGATTTTTTTACACAAATAAGGGATAACTATTTAACTCTAAACTGTTTAATATTTGTTTTTTTTTTTATTTCCCGCCACATGTTATCTTTCTCATAACAAAGACCTTGATTCTCATAACAAAGACTTTGATTCTCATAACAAAGACCTAGACTAACTATTAAAATATAAAGTATCCACAAATTAAAAAGAGATGAGATTTATCCAGAATACCTAAATTGCACAGGCCAATTAAATGAATCTTTTAAGGATAAGAGGACTTTAAATGACGTATTTTGTGATCAATTTTTGTTAAAAGCATAACTTAAAAAAAGTTCGCGCTATCTACCGTTGATGTTACGTTTATTAATGATTTTCGCCGCTCAGATCCGAGCAAGGATATATTATATGCACATTTTTGGTAGATATTTTCAAAATGATTTACATTTTAAAATTACACATGATTTTCAACAAATGAAATAGATGAGATTTTCAATAACAAAAAAATTGATATTCAGTAACAAATGGATATTTGACTAATTATATATGAATTAATTTGTAATTTTAATGCCGCGTAATTATTAATGAGTCATGACAAAGACAAATGATTTATAGAACTTATACAAGAATGTCTATATTATTTTTTGGCCGAGAAGGTTTTTAGATACTAAAAAAGAAAAAAATTGAATAGAAAGAATGAAAATCATGGTAAGATGATCAACATTGTATGACATTGATATACCTGGTGGTTTAACTATTTTAGTATTTAGCGTTCGTTAAGTTAAGAAAGCCTCATCATACATATAAAAAAAT